TATACTTGTATCCTTAGGCTGTGTTGTAACGAGAGTGCCTGGGTGGTGGGTCAATGCCACACCATTGCTTACTGCTTTCTGCAACATTGTCTGTAGGATGAAATTTTCATTAACTGACTTGCACATGCTTAAAAGTTTTTTGTTGTTCTTGCAGGAAAAAGAAGCAGTGTTGAATTTCACTGTAGATGCTTTTTGTAGATTAGTGAAGCATCATGCCAATGTAGCTCAATTAGTTACCATGTATGAAGGCTAATCCTTTATATTTGTTCTTTCAAATTTGCAGAGAAGATTTTGTTTTAAATAGTAATTAAAAATTGGGTTAAGTTTTCTTCATGTATCTTTGCATGGTTGATAAGGAATTCTGGTATTACATTGTTGCTCCATTTTGTCATCTACCTGCACATTTGAGTACCTTTTGTCTATTCCTATGGTTGATGCAAAAATATTTTGGTGAAGAGCAAGCATAATCTGTAGATTGTGATTTTACATTGTTTTCCAATAAATGTGTTGCATCATATCTCAACAATGTCGTATTCTACATTCTTCTCAAGTTTATTTTAAGATGTGTTGCTTTCTTGAATGCTTTATCTTTGATAATACAAATCAATAAAAGGCCTAAAAGACATGTCTGATTTAATTGTGCTGTCTCCTCTAAAGTTAAAACACTCCTGGACAAATAAATTTTTTTCCCTTGAGTTAAATTTCATTTTGCATTTTATTATTCTTTCAATCGGTTGCTGGAGTTTAACATTTACTATTGCCTGTGACCCTTGACCCTTGGTTCATTAATGTTGGATGCAATTTTTTGACTACTCAAACTGTACGTGCTATCTACTACCATACTTTATATTTTATTTTTGTTTATTACTTTTTTTATAGCATATTAGCTTCTAAATGATAGATAGGATTGTAGCAACAATTTTCATTCCCAGTTGGATTAGACTGCTTGATTGTTTACCTTCTTCCTAGATAATAGTTAAATTATTACATTTATTCTTTCTTTAGAATAGTTAGGTTACTAACTTCTATACTTTGCTTATGAAGAATAATTTTATTTCTCTCACTTTTATGCCCTGTGGGATCAAAATGCTATCTTGCAAATTTAATAATTCAAATGAGATTATTGTTCATTGCATCGATTAACTGCAAGCATTTTAATAACTTCAAGAGTTCTGATGGCTTGCAGGTTAGTAGAAACACATATATTCTCTTCTGTTGTGGGAAGAGCATTTGTGACAGATATTGAAAAGTTAAGAATTGGCAGCAAAACAAGATATTTGGATGTAGCAAAAGTTTTAAGATTTTTCTCTGAAGTCACTAAGGTTTGCATGCTTGATTTATGTGCACTCTCTCTCTCACAACCACCCCCCCCCCCTCAAAAAATAAAAGGAAAAAGAATTATTCTTTTCCTTCAAATACTCTTGAATGTTTTGTTGTTTAGAGTTAAATTCATCTGCGCTAATCTGCAGGATGGCTTCAATCCAGGTTCAAATTTGTTAACTGCTGTTGAAGTCTTGGTATCTGGGGTATGTTTCACTAGTCTTTGCTTCACTTAATTGTACCATTTACTGCTCCTGATAATGTTGCAATCAAAAATGATCCTTCGAATGTTTGCTTTAAGTGATTGGATTGTGTCTTAGGTGATTATGATAATATCATGCATAACAGTTTGCTATTTTGCTTAACATTTGAGTATTGTCTATAATTTTTTTTTTTTCTTTTCTTGTGTCTGCAGCCCATTGATAAACAATCTTTACTTGATTCTGGAATTTTTCTGCTGCCTTGTACAAGTTCTGAATGCCCTTTTGAGTTCTAATCAAGTCAAGCAGAGTCAAACAGTTAATGATTCTGAGGAATCACTGCTATCTGAAAAGGATTCTGCTGCTGATGTTGGGCAAGTCTGCCAACTTGAGGTGATTTCCTTCGAATTATTCCCTAAATCTCCCATTTATGTGATGTATCCTAAATATATACAAATGTGATTATACTCAAACTTGCATTTTTATGTGTTAGTATGCAATTTTTACCTGATTGATTGTTCTTGTTAATGAAAAGTTAATATGGTATAAAAAAACTAATAGCTTTCAACCATTCAATTTATCCAGACATCTTTTCTTTTCCTTTTGTGGTGTCTTAACAGTTATTTGATGCTGCATGTTCTCTTAATAAGTTATATTAGCATAATATATATACAGAGGAGGGATCCACTTACACACAAGTCTCACACACTACACATACACAAAATCTCAACCATTCATCTCTCCAGTTTTAATGGTTGAGATTTTTCATGACTTTTTAGATGAAAAAAATAACTATCTTTAATAAATGTGAATAAATCTAAACTATTAAAAATGGAGAGATAAACAGTTGAGATTTTGTGTAAGTAAGACTTCTGTGTAAGTGAATCCCTACTCATATATATATATATATATATATGCACTGATGATTCTCAAAGAGGAACTTTCTTGAGTTTGGCTCTTTAGGAGTGAGAAGTGAGAGTGAGGTTGTTAGCTGTTGCTCTCTTGTTTGGGGATGACAAAGATGTTGATGATCAATCAGATGTGGGATGCCTGGCATGATGATCTTAAAATGATACAGAATATTGATGAATTGCCTGCTTTGTTATGTAAATTTTACTGCTGCATGTAAACCATGTTGAACTCTATGCTGCTAGATGTCCTTAATTTTTGAACTGTAGACCATATGATGCTAGAAAATTAGATCTTATTCTATCTCTCTGAAACTTCTAAATAAAAAAATGACTTGAACATAATGTGCAGTAGAGCCTGTACTGCATTATTTTTCATTATATTTCAATATATACTTATATGTGAATGATTGTCAATGTTGTCTTTAATTTAGCAGAATTTATAACCATCCAAATCCCAAAATAACCAGTGGCTTGCAGAATTCTTTGGTTGGTGGCTGTGTGTTCTGGTCATGGAATGAATTCCATTGGAACAAATTCTATTCTGTAGACACATTGCACGCAAGACATGCAAAATCCAAAAGGGGAAAGAATGTACTGCAGGTGTACTGTTTAATTTGTTTGCTTGAATGATTTTGATATTAGAATGTGGCATAGCCTGCAATTATATCTGAATATTATTTTTAGGTTACCGAGCATGTGTCCATTTATCAATTTATAATAATATATGAATGGATTTTTCGTCAGAGAGCCGTCCAGAATGGAGCTACTTGTTCATTGAGTAGTTGTGGAAACTAGTGACTTAAATAATCTATCTGAATTTAATTTTACAAAATTTTCTACTCATCCAGGTAGAGGGAAGTGTGGTACATGTTATGAAAGCATTGGCAAGCCAACCTTCAGCAGCACAGAGTTTGATTGAGGATGATTCTTTTATGATTCTATTTCAGATGGTTGCTAATGGCTCTTTAACAGTCTTCTCTCGATATAAGAAAGGTTTAGTTTCCTTGCACAGCATGCAGCTTCACAGACATGCTATGCAGGTGAATCTCCTGTGTTTTTTGTCATTTTTTATGACCTGCATGAAGGTAAGTTCATAAAAGTTTTTATCACATCTTTTAGATCTTGTTCTTATTACTGTTTCTTATTGCCCCAGATACTTGGTCTTCTTTTGGTCAATGACAATGGAAGCACTGCCAAATATATTCACCAACATCACTTGGTATGTAGTTGTGTAAAGCCGTGAACTTTTTAAGAGCATATCTGAAAAGCAATGGGGACTTTAAAGAGGCTGTTTCTGAAATTGTGCTTCTTCTTTTTAAGTACATTTCCCCATTTGAAAGTTTCTAGGATCACTGGTTTGTATTTTGGTCTTCCTTTTAGCTTGTTTATAGTTGATTAAGAGGATCCAAATTGCTTTTGAAAACATTTTCACTTAAATAAAAAATTCCTTTGAGTGGGCACTCTCTTGTTTGTTCATTTGATATTCCCAACTTTAAACCAAGCAAGTTCTAGGCTTTATTGAGTTCCATTGAGTATTTACACTTGTTTTAGTATGGTAAAAGGTGTAGAACATCGTTATTAAGCCTTGGTCAAAGAATTTTGTATTTTTATTACTATTTTTTTTATGACAATGAACGAAAGTAAATGGAAAAGGAAAGGAGACAAAGTCTTTTGCAGGCACATTTCCTTCCTGTTTGCATTCCCTACTGATGTTTGATTGGGTGACTCAGGAGTTCTCACGTCAATTAAGGACATCCCTGCACATTATGAAAGTCACCTATTTCTGGTGATATTTTAACAGTGACAAATGATATGTAATTTTGTGGATTTTAAGATGAACTACATGGAAATTTTTTTGGATTTTAAGATGAACTGCTTGGTGTAAAAGTTTAGAAATATTACACATTTGATAGATAAAAACGTGTTTAATGAGTTCTTAATCAAACTTATTTATGAAATTGTCCATGAGCTTCTCTGTGAACATATACAAGGCAAGTTACCTGACATACTATTCTAACATGCAGATAAAAGTTCTCCTAACGGCTGTCAAAGATTTTAATCCAGATTGTGGTGATCCTGCCTATACTGTGGGAATTGTGGACTTGTTACTTGAATGTGTGGAGTTGTCATATAGACCAGGTAATTGGTTCTTGATCTTTTACTTGTTGTCTAAGGTGTTTAAGTAGTTAATGGATTCTGTTTTGTTTGAATTACTGCTAATTTTATGTTTTTTGACTTGTAGAGGCTGGTGGTATTAGGCTGAGGGAAGAAATACATAATGCCCATGGTTATCATTTGCTTGTGCAGTTTGCTCTTGTTCTGTCTTCCATGCATCAAAGTCAAGGCATTGAGTCTATTTATTTGAAGTCCTCTTTCAACAACAATTATGGTTCAGGTGGTTCTCATGCATTTGATGATGCAGTGTAACAGGAATTTACAAAAAATGAGGACTCCTCATCCCAACATCTCTCACCTACACTGTGTAGGTTGCTTGATGCTCTTGTTAACCTAGCCCAAACTGGTCCTGCTGAAGAAAAAAGTTCCAAATACTCCCAGATCAAGGCCAGTGGCCATAGCAGAAGTCTTTCATTTTCTGCTGACAGACTTGGTAATGAAATTTGGGAACATAGCAATAATAAAGTTAAAGACCTTGAAGCTGTCCAGATGCTACAGGACATCTTTCTTAAGGCAGGCAGCACAGATCTACAGGCAGAAGTGCTAAATAGAATGTTCAAAATATTTTCAAGTCACCTTGAAAACTATAAGTTGTGTCAGCAATTAAGGAGTGTTCCTCTTTTCATCTTAAATATGGCTGGTTTTCCTCCCGCATTGCATGCAATAATCTTGAAAATTCTTGAATATGGTGTGACTGTTGTGAATTATGTTCCTGAGCAAGAATTGCTTTCACTTTGTTGCTTGTTACAGCAGCCAATTACATCAGAATTGAAGCTTACCATACTTTCATTTTTTGTAAAACTTTTATGAGTTTATCTTTTGACCAACAGTACAAGAAAGTCCTACGAGAAGTTGGTGTGTTGAAGTTCTTTTGGATGATTTGAAGCAGCATAAGTTTCTTTCAAGCCCAGACCAACACAGTGGCAATTCTAATCAGTTGGCGAGCAAATCCAGCTTGGGCACCTTCAAGAATTATTTGGACAGTGAGGATGTTATCATTGCCTCACCCAAGCTCATGGAATCTGGTACAGGGAAGTTCCCTATTTTTGAAGCTGAGGGTACAATCATTATTGCGTGGGATTGCATGGTCTCATTGATAAAGAAAGCTGAAGCAAATCAAGCAGCTTTCCGGTCAGCTAATGGTGCAACTACAATTCTCCCCTCTTTAATGTCTAATATTCACCGCCCTGGGGTTATTCGGGTCTTATCATGCTTGATCACTGGAGATGTTATGCTGGTATGTGGATATGGATGTTTTTCTATTTGATAGGTTCAAATTTTGCAGATCTTATTCCAAGAATGTCTTTTTCTCATGTTGCATTTTCTGGAACTTTTATTTATTTGATTTTTTTCTTTTCATTTTAAACTTTGCATTTTCTATGTTTTACTTTCAAACCACCTCATGCTGAGGCTTTATGCTGTGTTATTGAAATATTATTTGTTTCCTCACTCAGGCCCATCCTGAAGAATTAGGGGCACTTGTTGAAGTCTTAAAGAGCAGAATGGTTACAGGTGTTTCAGGACATCAATACAAGCTTTTAAGTGATGCAAAATGTGACAACATGGGAGCCTTGTAGCGCATTCTAGGAGTCAATAATTCAGCTCGAGGGGTCTTTGGTGAAGCCACTGGGTTTTCTCTTTTGCTAACCACACTCCACAGTTTTCAGGGTGACAGAGAACACACAGAAGAGTCTTCCATAGCAGTTCATATCAAGGTGTTTACATATTTGATACGCCTTGTGACATCTGGAGTGTGTGGTAATGCTATTAATAGGACAAAATTGCATGCTATTATCTCATCTCAAACATTTTATGACCTTCTATGTGAATCTGGTTTGCTGTGTGTGGAGTGTGAGAAGCAAGTGATACAGCTGCTATTGGAACTTGCTCTTGAAATTGTGCTTCCACCTTGCTTGACCCCAGAGAGTTCAACATCTCTTTATGCAGTAGAAAATGAGTCAACTAGTTTTCTTTTAACAACCTCATCTGGTTTGTTTAATCCTGATAAAGAACGAGTATATAATGCTGGAGCTGTTAGGGTTCTGATCCACTCGTTGCTTTTTACTCCAAAGGTTCAGTTAGAAGTGCTGAACCTTATTGAGAGCCTTGCCCATGCCGGACCCTTCAATTAGGAAAGCCTTGCCTCTGTAAGTGGGAAATGGATCTTCAAGCTACACTTTATGTTTTGTTCCATTAACCCTTAGTTTCTTACAGTTTTCCTTTGCAATTGATTTAGGTTGTGTGGAACTTATATTGGAGATGATTCACCCCTTCCTCTCAGGCTCATCTGCATTCCTTTCTTATGCTTTGAAGATTGTGGAGGTTCTTGGTGCGCACAGGTATGTGTCTCGCCATGTCTAGAGATTACTGCATTTGAGCAATTCATTTCAGCATATTCTTGTCCATTTTTTCCTTTTTGGATAAGGTTTATATTTCTGCTGATAGGTTGTCTGCCTCAGAACTCCGAGTGTTTATTAGATATATCTTTCAAACAAGGCTGATGAAATCCGGTCATATTATTGTTGAATGATGGAGAAATTAATTCTAATGGAAGATAAAGCTTTGGAAAATGTTTCTTTGGCTCCCTTTGTGGAAATGGATATGAGAAAGATTGGGCATACTTCTGTTCAGGTCTCTCTAGGAGAAAGATCTTGGTGTCCTGCAACTGGTTATTCATTTGTTTGTTGGTTTCAGTTTAAGAACTTCTTCAGAATGTCAGCAAAAGATATAGAACCTTCCAAAGCTGGTCTCTCAAAGAGGTAGAGAAGCCCTAGTGGACTGCATAAGGAGCAGCAAATTCTCAGGATATTTTCTGTTGGTGTGGCAACAAATGATGAGAATGCATTCTTTGCAGAACTTTATCTTCAAGAGGATGGTGTTCTAACCCTGGCTACGAGCAACTTGTGCTCCTTATTATTTTCTGGATTAGAACTAGAAGAAGGCAGGTGGCATCACCTTGCTGTTATACATAGCAAACCAAATGCCCTTGCTGGATTATTCCAAGCGAGTGTTGCTTATGTCTATCTTGATGGGAAGCTAAGACACACAGGAAAATTAGGGTATTCACCTTCTCCTGTTGGAAAACCATTACAAGTAACTCTTGGTGGGACTCCAATTAATCGTGCAAGAGTTAGTGATTTGACTTTGAGACTTCGCTCTTGCTTTCTCTTTGAGGAAGTGCTCACACCAGGTTGTATTTGTTTCATGTACATCCTTGGTAGAGGATATAGAGGGCTTTTTCAAGATTCGGATCTGCTGCGTTTTGTCCCTAACCAGGCTTGTGGTGGTGGTAGCATGGCTATTTTAGAGTCACTAGATGCTGACTTGCCTCTGGCTTCCAATGAACAGAAGCTTGATGGTGCAAGCAAGCAAGGGGACTCTAAGGCTGATGGCAGTGGAATTGTTTGGGATTTGGATAGACTGGGAAACCTTTCATTTCAGCGCAAGAAACTCATTTTTGCATTTGATGGAACATATACAGAAGCTGTTCGAGCATCTGGGACATTTTTAATGCTCAATATGGTTGATCCCATGTCAGCTGCTGCTTCTCCAATTGGAGGTAAATAAATTGCTTTTTCAATTTAAGCTTAAATTAAATGTTTGGATATTTAACTGGTGAATCCAGTCCATGTCAAATTATTTTTACATTAATTGTTCTTCCATTTTTCATTTTTCAGGCATCCCATGCTTTGGGCACCTTTATGGGCATATCTATATTTGCAGGCAATGCGTGATTGGTGATACCATTTGCCCTGTTGGTGGAATGGCCGTTATTTTGGCGCTTGTTGAAGCAGCGGGAACTAGGGATATGCTCCACTTGGCCTTGAATCTATTTGCTTGTGCACTTCATCAGAATCCTGAAAATGTAAGAGACATGCAAACATATAGAGGATACCATTTGTTAGCACTCTTCCCGCATAGGAGGATGTCATTATTTGATATGCCGTGCCTTGAGATATTTTTCCAGATTGCTGCATGGTTGATCTGGCAAAGATGTGTCCACCATTTTCTGCCGTTTGCAGAAAGACAGATTTTCTTGAAAGCTGTGTTGACCTTTACTTTTCTTGTGTTAGGTTTGTCTTCAAATTCCCTCTCTCTTTGATTCTGAAAATTCCTTTCTGCACTGGTTTAATCTGAAACGCTATGATGTTAATGGGATTCTTACATAAACTCCATTCTGAGACAAAGTTATCTCTTCTCCTTGGTTTTTTTATCACAGGGCTGCTGATACTGTGAAGAAGGTAAAAGGGCTCTTTGTAAAGACAGAGGAAAAGAATTTAAATGATTGTGATGATGCTAGTTCACAGCATACATTCTCTAGCTTGCCTTCAGAACACGAACAGTCTAGTAAGACTTCTATCAGTGTTGGAAGCTTCCCTCAGGCACAGGTTAGTACAAGTTCTGAGGAAATAAATATCTCTCTTAAATTGATGATTGAAGATAAAGCAGAGTCAAAGATTACCAAGTCTCAGGAGGAATTAAAGAAATCGATGGACATAGATGCTATTCACAGTTTAGATGGTGATAATGTTGATCTGGTTTCTGCTACCTCAAGTTCAAGTGAACTCAATTTTAATAATATCAAGGTTACCTTGACTCCAATTCAACAGCCAGATTCCCAGAGTTCTACATCTCTTCCTATGCTAGATTCTCCCATTTTGTCAGAGAAATCCAATTCCATGATCACTTTGACGTCTTCTTAATCTCCTGTTAGTCTCTGACTCCTTGGTTGGGTATAAACAATGATGAATCTAAAACTCCCACAGTTCCCTCTCTTTCCATTGAGTCTTCTGTGTCTATCCGTGAGTTTGATCCATCCCCTGTCAGTGAGTTTGATCCATCCTCAGACTTAAAGACTGGTTCTTATGGTTCATCCACTGCCACTACATTTTTTTCTGTTACTCCAAAGCTGCTCCTAGAAGTGGATGATTCTGGCTATGGTGGTGGTCCTTGATCTGCTGGAGCAACTGCTCTGTTGGATTTTATCAGAGAACTGCTAGTTGATTTGATAATTGAGCAGATGAAAGCAGCCCAAGTAGTGCAGAGCGTCTTGGAAATGGTTCCACTATATGTTGAAGCCAAACCTGTGTTGGTTTTCCAAGGTTTGTGCCTTAGTAGACTAATGAACTTTCTTGAAAGGCATCTTTTGCGTGATGATGAAGAAGATGAGAAAAAGCTAGATAAGTCCAAATGGTCCTCAAACTTAGATGCTTTGTGCTGGATGGTTGTTGACCGTCTTTACATGGGTGCTTTCCCCCAGCCTGGTGGTGTGCTAAGGACTCTAGAGTTTTTCTTGTCAATGTTGCAATTAGCAAACAAAGATGGTAGAATTGGAGCAGCAGCTCCTACTGGAAAGGGCCTTTCATCAATTGCAAGAGGAAGCAGGCAACATGATGCTTATATACATTCAATTCTAAAGAATACAAATCGCATGATACTGTATTGCTTTCTACCATCATTCTTGATCACAATAGGAGAAGATGATCTTCTTGCATCCTTGGGTCTGCTTACAGAACCTAAGAAAAGATCATCCTCAAACTCTTCACTTGAAGATTCAGGAATGGATATTTGCACTGTTTTGCAGTTATTAGTTGCTCACCGAAGAGTCATATTCTGCCCCAGCAATCTTGATACTGATCTGAATTGCTGTATTTGTATAAATTTATTCTGTCTTCTTCGTGACCAGAGGCATAATGTACAGAATATGGCAATTGATATTGTCAAGTATTTACTGGGGCATCAAAGAGCTTCACTAGAAGATTTGCTTGTCTCTAAACCAAACCAAGGACAGCCCCTTGATGTACTACATGCTGGTCTTGACAAATTATCGATTGGGAGTTTATCTTCTTTCTTTGAGTGGCTTCTGAACTCTGAACAGATTGTAAATAAAGTATTAGAGCAGTCTGCTGCAATTCTGTGGGTGCAGTACATTGCTGGATCAGCTAAGTTTCCTGGAGTCAGAATAAAAGGCATGGAGAGTTGCCATAAGAGGGAAATGGGAAGAAAATCACAAGATACTGCAAAATTAGACCTTAGATACTGGGAGCAGGTAAATGAAAGGACATATACACTGTTAGTGCTACGTGATGCAATGGCTACTGAGCTCAGAGTTGTCCGTCAAGACAAGTATGGATGGGTTCTACATGCTGAGAGTTAGTGGCAAACCCATCTCCAGCAACTTGTACATGAACGGGGAATCTTCCCAATTCGGAAATCCTTTATGACTGAAGATCCTGAATGGCAGCTTTGCCCCATTGAAGGTCCATACAGAATGCGCAAAAAGCTGGAGCGCTGATGGTATCCAAAATGTTCTTGATGGGCAGTTGGAATTAGGAGAAATGGAGCTTTCCAAAGCCAAAATTGAGGATGTCCCAGAGATCTCTGATCCTGGTTCTGAATCACTTTTCAGTCTTTTTGCTGATACTGACAAACGGAATGATGTTGATGGCAAACTCTATGATGAATCATTTTTTAAAGAATCTGAAGATGTGAAAGATGTAACATCTGTTAAAAATGACTGGAGTGATGATAGAGCCAGCTGTATGAATGAAGCAAGCCTTCATTCTGCCCGAGTTTGGTGTCAAATCAAGTGCTGTGTCTGTCCCTATATCTGAACAAGAAAAATCTGATCTAGGATCTCCAAGGCCATCATCATCAACCAAAATTGAAGAAGTGAAAGTCTCTGGGGATAAGTCAGATAAGGAACTGCAGGAAAATGGAGAATATTTAATTAGACCTTATCTGGAACCTCTTGAAAAGATAAGATTTAGATATAACTGTGAACGAGTTGTTGGTCTTGACAAACATAATGGTATATTTCTGATAGGGGAACTTTCTTTGTATGTAATAGAGAACTTTTATACTGACAATTCTGGCTGCATTTTTGAGAAGAAATGTGAGGATGAACTCTCTGTTATTGATCAGGCTTTGGGTGTAAAGAAAGATGTAACTTGTGAAGATTTCCAGTCCAGGTCAACTTCATTATGGACAACAACAGCAAACACATGGGTGGGAGGTAGGGCTCGGGCCTATAATGGTGGTACGTGGGGAAAGGAGAAAGTGCACACTGGTGGTAATTTACCTCATCCTTGGTGTATGTGGAAGCTTGATAGTGTTCATGAGATTTTGAAGCGTGATTACCAGTTGCATCCTGTTGCTGTTGAGATATTTAGTATGGATGGATGTGATGATCTCCTCATATTTGACAAAAAGGAGAGGGAAGAAGTATTCAAGAACCTGATTGCCATGAATCTTCCAAGGAAGAGCATGTATGCAGTCTGTCATCTTATTGTTTATGTTTTTAATTTTTAATGTCAGTTTTCTTTCTTTTGGCAGAATTATATCTTGGGTTTATGTTGGAGTTTGATGAAGTAGTGATATGTTTGAGCATCTTTCTTGTCATTGCAAAGTTGTTCATCCTTTTCTTTTGTTCTATCATTTGTTTTTTAAGATGTTTTGAGTAGTATATTTTCTTTTTATCTATATATCTTGGCTTGCTTATGCTCTGGTGCCAATGAATGTGCTGTGCTGTTTACTTGTCTCCTGTGTTGTTGAATAGATTGTTTACGTAGTAACGTTTTGCCTTTCATCAGGTTGAACAGAACCATTTCAGGATCAACAAAACAGGAAAGCAATGAAGGCAGCCGCCTTTTTAAAATTATGGCTAAATCCTTCTCCAAGAGGTGGCAAAATGGAGAAATTAGCAATTTTCAGTATCTCATGCATCTCAACACCTTGGCAGGACATGGATATAGTGATCTCACCCAATATCCAGTCTTTCCATGGGTCCTGGCAGACTATGAAACTGAAAATCTGGATTTGCCAAACCCAAAAATTTTTTGCAAGCTTGACAAACCAATGGATTGTCAGATGCCAGAAGGAAAAGAGGAATTTAAGAAAAGGTCAACCCTAATATTTAGTCCATCATAATTTTGTGTGAATACCATATCATCTTCATCGTCATTGCCATCATCATTGTCATGACTGACCTTGTTATTTGCAGCATGGTTTGTTTTCTGTGGTTTTCAGTACCTGCACTGAGTCTGCATGTTAACTGCATATCTTCTCTATTTCAGGTATGAGAGATGGGATGATCTGGAGGTTCCAAAATTTCATTATGGTTCACATTATTCAAGTGCTGGAATTGTCCTCTTTTATCTTCTTCGCTTGCTACCATTCAGTGCAGAAAATCAGAAGCTACAAGGTGGCCAGTTTGATCATGCTGATCATCTCTTTAATAGTGTACAAGATACATGGTTAAGTGCTGCTGGGAAAGGTAACACATCAGATGTGAAAGAATTGATTCCCGAATTCTACTACATGCCCAAGTTTTTGGAAAACCGGTTCAATCTTGATTTGGGAGAGAAACAATCAGGGGAAAAAGTCAGTCTAGGTTAAAATTGCAACCTTGGATTGTGGTTCATGAAGTTTGATTTGTTGCTCAGCCTGTGCCAACGCAGATTCTCAAATGGATATAGTTTTCTTTCTCTGTGATGTCTCCTAATAGTTATTGTAATAACATTTTTCTTCCAGGTTTTTCTTTTTTTTTGATCGGCTTTTTTTCGAGGTTGATGATGTTATCTTACCTCTTTGGGCCAAAGGCAGTGCCAGGGAATTCATCCAAAAGCATAAAGAAGCTCTTGTGTCTGATATTGTTTCAGAAAATCTGCATCATTGGATAGACCTTATATTTGGTTATAAACAGCGAGGGAAGGTCAGTGTTTACAAGCTCTGCAATTCATTTTGCTCTAAAGTACAAGTCTTGGTTGACATCATTTATGTGATTTTAATTCATTGACCTTTTTGAGTTAGAATTTCCACTTCTTTAAATGCTTCCAAGTTTATCGGTTTTCATGAAATCCTGTGTGGATATCTATTTTTCTTTTAGTTTATTTATTTATATATTTTCTTCCTCTATCAAGGAGTTGGTAACTTCTCAGTCTTCTTTTTGTATGGTATTCTTAATTTCCCTTTATGTTTTATTCATTTATTTCATAATATATTTTCATGGTTTATGTATTTATTTCAAATTTTAGAGAGGAAGATTGTATTTACTGTATTTTTCTTCTGTTTTGTTGGCAATGAAACTCAAATTAACTTTGAGAATGTGCATCCACAAGATTATTTTAAAATTTTCAGAGTTTTAATGATTGTTGACATGCACAACTTCCTCATTTTGGCCCTTCCTGGTGCAAACCAATAACTATGTTTAATCTAAAATGATGAAGATGGTTCTTCCTCTGCAATTTATGATTTATTTTTATTTTATTTAATTTTACTTTCTGATCTGCTTTCATTTTCCCGGTCTGACTCTTCAATCTCATTGTTTGCTTATATGAACTTATTCAGCTCATTCTTTGGCTTCTTATTTGCTATCATAATTGGCAGGCAGCTGAAGAAGCCGTTAATGTTTTCTATGATTGCACATATGAAGGGAGTGTGGACATTGACTCAGTTACAGATCCTCTGATGAGAGCTTCTATTCTAGCACAGATCAATCATTTTGGACAGACACCTAAGCAACTATTCCTCAAACCCCATGTAAAAAGGCGGCCTGACAGAAGGCTTCCTCTTCATCCACTGAAGCATCAAAACCTTCTTGTTCCACATGAAATACATAAAAACTCATCTACCATAACGCAGATTGTTACTTACCATGAGAAGATTCTCATTGCTGGATCAAACACTCTGCTCAAACCTAGAACATATACCAAATATGTAAAGTGGGGTTTTCCCAATTGCTGCCTGAGATTTATGAACTATGATCAAGATAGACTACTCTCAACCCACGAGAATCTTCATAGGGGACATCAGATTCAGTGTGCTGGCATTAGTCATGATGGTAACACTTTGGTCACTGGTGCTGATGATGGTCTAGTGTCTGTTTGGAGAATTAGCCAGGATGCACTCTGTGCTGTAGGACACTTGCTGTTAGAAAAGGTGCTGTGTGCCCACACAGCCAAAGTCACGTGTCTTCATGTCAGCCAACCCTATATGCTGATTTTGAGTGGATCAGATGACTGCACTGTTATTATGTGGGATCTAAGCACCTTAAGTTTTGATAGGCAGCTTCCTGAGTTCCCTGCACCAGTTTCAGCAATTTATGTGAATGACTTGACAGGGGAAATTGTGACAGCTGCTGGAATTCTGCTTGCAGTTTGGAGCATCAATGGGGACTGTCTAGCAGTAATTAATACATCGCAATTGCCATCTGATTCTATACTTTCTGTGACAAGTAGTACATTTTCTGATTGGATGGATACCAACTGGTATGCAACTGGTCACCAGAGTGGGGCTGTTAAAGTCTGGAATGTGGTTCACTGCACCGAGCAAGAGGTTGCCACAAGCAAATCTAATAGCAATGGAACTGGAGGCTTAGATTTGGGAAGTTGGACCCTAGAGTATGGGTTGATGCTCCCCAAGGTACTGAAATTTCACAAACACCCAGTTACTGCTCTTCACCTGAGCACTGACTTGAAGCAATTGCTGAGTGGAGATTCTGGTGGTCATTTGCTATCTTGGACGCTTCAAGATGAGAACTTGAGAACTTCTTTTGATCATGGGAGATAGCAGGAAAATGAAAATGTGATTTTCAGCTCTGTGGCCAGCTATTGATTATGTTAAAACCCTTGGTGGGTTTTTGTTTGAAGTCCTCAATGGGGAGATAATGATTCTTTGTTAATGATGCATGAACAAAAACAAGACAATAGGGCTGGCCGGGTATTGCAACAGGATAATCGAGGATAAACCAGAAAGGAGGAAGTGACATTTCTTTACAACCTGATATATCGCTGAAATTGAGAAGAACGGAGGCCACAAGAGATCTACATTGCGAACGTGCACCAGTTCGAGCAAACCCATTTTGAAGGTGAACTGGCAGGCCACAACGTTTGTTGAATTCTCGGTAAGTAGTGGAGGATGTTGCTTTTGAGACATCGCTCCACTGGTTCCTTTTCTGTCATTGTAAATAGGTGGAAATCGTTAACAGTGTCTAATTAAGTTGTATAGAAATATTTGTTGCGATTGGTCTTTGCTAGTATGGACCAAAGCGATAGTTAAATAGGTTTTGAGTGTATTTTTCACGGCTGAAATTCCTTTTGCATAATTCAGGTGGGCGTTACCTGCCTCTTGTATTATAATTCTACTGTTTTTGGAAATGTCATTAATGTTCTCTAGGTCTCTTGTACGAAATACTTCGCTAATCTGTCTTCCCTCCCTTCCATTTCACTCAAACTGAACAGGCTATAATGGAAATTTCCTTTGGCCCATATGTTATCCCATGCATGGCCTATGCTCTGTTGTGCTTTCTAATGGCAAGTCCCATGCAACTGCTCCGGGCCTCTTTCTTTTTTCACTATCTCCCTGTATCAAGTCCTTTTACTTAATCTCAAAAGGCTATCAATACACCTTTGAAAGAGATTTGCGAGCAAGGAAACCTTAAGGAAGCTTTTCAAGCGCATATACAGCTTCGTTCAATTGCCATAGTTTACTTTCTTATACATATGTCAGACTTATGCGCCACTTCTTGAGTTTTGTAGGAGAAAAATGTTCCGTCTAGAGGTCAACATCAACAAATTCATGTCCAGATGAAAAAGGCCTTTGCCGTGTGTGAATTGGTGTTTCTGGGTGCTAATTAAGTTTTGCTTTTATGTATGGTTAGTGTGGGGCACTTGAGGGTGCAGAGAGAGTGTTCGATGCTTTGCGTCAAAGAACAATTTTTACATGGAATGCTATGTTTAATTGGGGAACCTTCCCGAGCTCTTGAAACGTATACGGAAATGAGGATTTTGGGTGTTCTTGATGCTTTTACTTTTCCAGGCGTGCTTAAAGCTAGCAGTATGTTTAAATGGGGAAATCAAGGGACTCAGTAAGGATTATATGCTCTCATAGAAATCAAAAGTTGATAATAATGGATGTGAAACCAAAATCCTGAAACTCTGCCTCCTTTCATATTGCAGGTGATCAAAGCTAGGTGGTTGGAGTGAATTTAATGTTCTTTCCTCCAAGATGGCAGGTTTGCGTGCATGTTATTTAACAATGGACAATAGGAAAAGGCAGAAGTCTGTTACGTTTTCACAGAATCACACTTAGCTGAAGCTGCATTCCTCAAGTACGCCACAAGGTTCAGGTATATATTGGTAATTAGCCCCTTATCAAAATTACTTGTGCTCATCATTATTAGTAAACTTCTGTAAAATTTGAATCAAAATCAAGATTCAAATGCATTTTATTCATGTCCTTGTCATCTCTCATTGCACATTAACCATTCATTGCATGCGTCCCTGGTAAAACAAGTTACCGGTGTCATGAAAACAAAAGCATCTACACAGCCACAATGCAAGGGCAAAAACCCTTCTTAAGTCCCCAAAATTATCCCAAAATAACATTTAATCCCCTAAACTAAAAAGAAAGCAAATAAACCCTTTAACTTCACTAACTGTGCAAATAAGCCATTCTCACAAACTGGTTAAATGGTATTTCATATTTAATATCACCTTGAAAGCATGAATACTTATGAATAAAAAGGATTTATCTGCATTATTAATGGAATTAGAGGGTTTATCAATTTTATTTTTAATTTAAAAACTTAAATATTATTTTGAAATAAGTTTGAGGGTTTAAAAAAAAATTTTAAACAATGCAAGTGGTTGAATTTCAGTTAGAAGTTGTAGTAGATTTTGATTATGACACATTCTTTAGCTAGAGAGTCACGACTTTAATCATTGCTACATTTTGAAGAGACTGAACCCTGAGTGGGTCCTGGCTGGGCCAGGTTGTGTCCAACAACTGAGATTCCAGTACAAAACCATGTGCTCATGGTTTGGTAAATCCTAGCTGACCCTAAACTTGAAACATGTTGAATTCGGGGTTTTTCCAAGAAAAAAAAAGCTGAAATAGGGTTTTGGAGGGATTAAAAAACCCTAGGGTATAGGATGATGAACTGTCCTGAAAAATGCTTGTTTGAGGGCAAACAAGATGGAAAAGGGAAGCAGCGCAAGCAACTATTAAATTGTTAACACTGCTATCCTTCACCTCTGAACTCTCTCTCACAAGCTTTCCTAAACCCCCTTGCTCCATAGCCGAAACCCTGAAACTTGATAATTTTAGAATGTCCCTGAATCTTTTGTTATCATGTCCATGTTGCTGACATTTTTGCTTCTCAAATCTCTATCGCATTAATATAATGGTTGTACGGGTGTGAACTCCTGTGACTATTGCTAAGCCCCTAGATTTTTCCTAGATTAGCTTATGAACTCCTCTGACTATTTTTTTTCTCAAAAGTAAACAAAATGGAATAGGCAAAACTCCCAGGATACCCTCCAACTTTCAAAGATTGCTTCTCAGCTTATAATTTAAAAGATTTAAATCCCTTAACAAATTGAATAAAGGAAATAAACCTAAAGTTAATTAATGGTAAACCAGGACATTGGTCAAGCCATGCCTGTCACTGTCAACTTAGTGCAAAATTGCTTACGAGGCTTGTAAGCTAACATTGGCCTTTTCTTGCATATTTTATTATTAATTGTTTATTAGGCTATACTCAATTAATTTTTAGAGGGATGTAACTTGTTTGTTTGTTAGGCCACACTATTTTGTTGACCTTACGTTTGTAGTGGAGGGACTTCTAGCTAGGGTTTTTTTTTTAAGGCATTTGGCTCTTTATATCAATTTATTTTTAATCTAAGACAACATTATAATCTAAATTATTTGAAGATCCTAGCACTTAAATTATGGCTTGTCTATGAGTTTCACGCACCTTCATACATGCTCTAAGCCTGGATGCGATTCATAACGAACATAACATTTTCGATAGAAAAAATCAGGTGAGACCCGCAACCATACTGACAGCTCGATGTAGACCAACTGAAATCAATTAGTTAAGGGACTTAAATCTTTAAATTGAATGTTGGGAGCAAAATCCTTCGAACTTTGTAAGTTGAGGGCTATCCTAAAGGTTTTACCTTCTCCATATCCATGTATATTCGTGGCCTATAGCCCCACCCGAATGGATGAACTCTTCTTGATGGACAGGGAAGGGCATTGACAACCGAGCTTTGAACCAAAGGTTTGAAGCAGAATGAAGAGCTGAGAACAGGACTGAGAATAAGCTCCTTATGAATGCCATTCTGCCAACCTAGCCTCATTGAAATTCTAAAAGAAAGGAGAAGTCTTAATTTCTTTACCTATCTTTTTCTTATGGAACCCAATAATTGTAGGGCAGTGACTTTCTCTGCTTCTGCTCCTGATGAAGAACAGTCATTTGAAATGAGGTATATATAAGAACCCTATGTTCCTCTAGGTAGACAGTCTAATGCTAACTAGAGTCTAGGGATGTGCCTCATAGCCCCCACCTGCCATTGCCATGCCATGCATCCTATCTCCATAGCCTCCTCAGTACCTATTCTCTTTCTTAGCTGTCCTCGTGATCTTTCCCTTTTATTTCACTGTTTCACGATGTGGGTTTTGTCTCTTCATTTTTCACTCTTTTCATCCCTTCTCCCATCCTTTTCTTCTTTCAGATCCCCCTTATATATCTCGCACTAGTATGTCACTTGTTCATTCAACCCTTAATCTAGGTTTCATTTTCTCCTCTTTTTGAGTTTTGTTATTTTCTTTGACTTGCATATCAAGTTCTTGACATCAATCCATTGTAACTGTTTCATTTTTTTCATGCTTTTTTAAGCTCTACTCTGCTAAACCTTTACCGTTTCATGTTTTGCTTCAAGGAATTTTTGTTTTTTAGTTTTTGTTGTTTCTCTCATATGCACCATCTTCTTCCCTAATTTGTACCAGGAACCTTGATTCCAGGTGCCTTTTACTCCATTGTCTAAGATGCTTTAAACCATTCCTGGTAATTTTCTCTGTATTTGAGGATTTTTCCATCTTTTTCTAAAGCTGCTTCTTCTGAAAGGTGGTTCTTCTGTTTCTTTTTATCATTCTCACCACATGTATTTTGAAGAAAGTTTCAGTCTTCGTTCTGGATTTCTGATTATTATAGTTATACACAGAGATGTTGGAGATTGTTGACCTTGTTTCGTAAGTTTTGAGAAGTCTACAAGGGAAAAAGTGAAGCTGCCAGCATGATCTATCTTTAGTTAGTGAGAGGTAGAAATAAAGAAATACCAATAGTTAACCCTAGCTAGATCATGCTCTGACAGCCTCACTCCTTCCTGCTTGGGGACCCAAACACACTTCAAATCTAAAAAGAAAAGCATAAGAAGAAATAGTCTGAGATACAGATACAGTGTGAGTGTATTCCTTCTCTTTTTGCTTTTTGTTTTTGTAATGTCAAAGCATGCGTTCTAACCCTTTTTTCCTTTTGCTTTTTTCTCTGTTTTAAGATAGGTACGTTGCATTCTCCAAGTATTGACCACAAGTGATGCTTCAAGATATGCTTCAAGATAGAGGGTCCGCTTGGAAGAGATATATATATTATAGAAACTATAATGTAGCAACAACATTAAAAGTTACTAAATTTTCTCTCTAATAAATTTTAAATAATGGCACCTGACCCTTAGACTTACTGACAAAAGCCAGCCGGTGCATCCCTTCTCTCCGAACGGGTTTGAAATCCGTTTCTTGTAAAATATGTTTAAAAAATTAAATTTTAAATAAAGAAGAAAAAATACTTATAAGCAAGTAAGCAAGCAACAATGTCTAGGTGAAATGACTTGATGTGGATTCTTTGGTGAGTTTTCAGTCAAATTGGAGAAGTTTAGTTGACTAAATCTCACTTCTTTTGAAAGATTATCTTTTGGGAGTTCGGTACAGAAAGATGGAATCCCAAAATATTAAGGTAGAATCCCGGAGCAGGGTGGGGCGGAGGGGAGTTGGGATTCGAATCTATACCTAGGTGAAGAGCCCCTTTTTCGCTTGTTAATTGCTTGGCCACCTGGCCTTTGTGGCTCTGTAATCGGCGCATCTTTTAGGGAATAACCAAAGATTAAAGGTATAATGTACCCAAAATGAAAAAAGACTAGGGTTATGCAGTGTGCTTGGTGAGGATGGTGTTTAGGCTTCCTTTAGCTAATGTTTGTATGTTTGCATCTTTGGGGAAATCAAGGACAGGGGGAGGGTAGGGATAGGGATGAATTTTTCCACTCATTATAATAATATGTTAAATTTTATACTTTAATTAGTTAAAATTTATTTTTTCAACTAAATATATTTTATTTTTTTCAAATTAAATAAATTCTATGTACTTTCTTAAAAACATTACGCGGTATTTTTAACTTAATTTTTTTTTATTTTAAAAATATATAAAATATTAATTAAAGTAAATATTAAATATATTTTTTAACATA